GCCCTGAGCCCCGACGAGTACTATGCCCGCTCGGAGGACTACGTGGAGCTGGTGCAGCGGAAGCGAGTGTGAGTCCTGCCGGGGGCCGCAGCCCCTCTCCTCCAGCCCGGGCCCGCAGACGCCTGCGCGCGCCCCCCCCCACCGCGCCCGAGGCCCCGCCAGTTGCGAGGGCACAGCTGTGGAACCGGGCTGACAGTGCAGCCAGCCTGAGGTGTTGTGACAGGGAAGCCGGTGGACCTTCTGGCTTGGAGAGTGGGGGTGCCCTGAGGGAAGGGGCTCCTGGGTTGAACTGGGCAGCCTTGGGGGAGGGTCACCCACCTAGCTGACGCCAGTGTGCGTGCCTCCAGGGGCGTGTGGAATGTGCCCTATATAGCCCAGGCATACATGATCCGTGGTGAGACCCTGAGGACAGAGCTGCCCCAGAGGGAGGTGTTCTCGGGCAGTGACACTGACCCAGACATGGCCTTCTGTAAGAGCCTGCGGGACAAGGTGAGTGGGGCCTGGGCGCCCGAAGCCAGGGTGCTGGGAAGCAGCCAGCCGTGTCTCCTCACACGGCCCCCACCCTGCCCGCCAGGGCATCTTCCTCCACCTCAGCAATCAGCACGAATTTGGCCGCCTCCTGGCCACTTCCCGGTATGACACCGACCATCTGCACCCTGACCTCTGGCAGATCTTCGACAACCCCCTGGTGAGTGCCTAACGTCTTGCTCAGAGAACAGGACGTGCCCTTCACTATAGGAGGGCGCACGCCCGCATGTCCTCGCTTCCAGGCTCCGCTCCTGCCTGGGGAGAGGCGGTCGTGGTCGTGGTGCTGGGGCTTCCTGGGTGGGACCGGAGGGAGTGAAGAGGGCACACATCAAGGTGCGCACCCCTCCCCATCCTCCCCCAGGACTGGAAGGAGCAGTACATTCATGAGAACTACAGCCGGGCCCTTGAAGGGGAGGGGCTTGTGGAGCAGGTGAGCCGCGAGCAGGACCCCTGACGGCCCTGGTGGCCACCGCCCCTGAGTCCACTGGCTGGATTAGTGGTTCCCAAACTGACTTCCCTCAGACAGATAAAGGCAAAGGCCGAGCAGATAGGCCTTCGGCTCCCTGCCCTGCCGCTAATCAGAGCGATCCTTTCTTGTTTATTGGGCCTATTAGTGTTGTGGGTGAAATGACAGTTTTGTAAAGAAGCCCCAAACCTGGGGTTCTGGCACCTTCCTGCCTTCTGTGCTGGGTCCCCTGCACCGCTCCCACCTTCTCCGGCCCTGCCTTTCCTGGCCCATCCCCATGCTCAGATCCCCGTTCCTCCAGCTTCTCCCATCTCCCGGCTTCTCTTTCTGCTCCCTGCTTTCGCTCCCCTGGGTTGGCTGCCTGTCTCCTCCGGAGAGGTCTGCAAGCATCCCCCGGCCCTGTTGTTCTTCCTCTGTCGGTCCTCAGCCGTGCCCAGATGTGTACTGGTTCCCGCTGCTGTCTGACCAGATGTGCGACGAGCTGGTAGAGGAAATGGAGCATTACGGCCAGTGGTCAGGAGGCCGGCACGAGGTGAGAGGGGCCGGGGCAGGGGAGGAGGCGAGGGCCACCGGGCGAGGGAGGTGCGGCTGTGATGGAGGGGAATGGAATCAAGAGAGTGGGAGCAGAGAAGGGGACCCCCGGGGGGGACCCACAGGGGGCACAATTGCGTGTGTGTGCGTGTGCATTCATTCAGGAACTCTTCCCTGGGGCACGCAGGTCCCAGACATTGGCTACTGACCTAGGCGATGTGGCACGTTGAGCTGTCCTGGTCGAGCCCTGCCCTCCGGCCCCTCACCTGCTAGAGTCAGTAACAACAGCCCTGCTCCTGAAGGCTGACGGGCAGCCCAGATGCTGTGGGAGTCACAGGAGGGGCTTTGGCCCAGACGTGGGGGGACCGAGGGGCTTCACAGAAGAGGTAACATCTTCAGGGCCAGGGGGAGTGAGTCAGGCTAAGTGGTCGAGGCTGCCAGACCCGGGTCACACAAGCTTTCAGGCCTGAGAGCGAGAGGAGGGGGAAGCTGGCGCGGCCCTGTTGGGGCTCAGTGCCCACCGCCCACAGGACTCGAGGCTGGCGGGAGGCTACGAGAACGTGCCCACCGTGGACATCCACATGAAGCAGGTGGGCTATGAGGACCAGTGGCTGCAGCTGCTGAGGACGTATGTGGGACCCATGACAGAGAGCCTGTTCCCAGGCTACCACACCAAGGTGGGCCACCACCCCTGCTACCCTGCTTCTACCTTCCCACACCTGGGTCCTGGCTGGAAGTCTCCCCATGGCGCCGTTTCAGCCCCCATAGCATCCGGAGCCTCGTGGAAAGGGCTTCCGCAGGAGGGCAGCCGGGAGGAGTTAGCAGAGAGACCCCCGCGGCCCTCCCCCTACCACCCTCCTCAGAAGGCCCCCGGGACCTCACGGCCATCCCTCCAGTGTCTCCTGTCACGTCTCCACAGACCCGGGCAGTGATGAACTTCGTGGTCCGCTACCGGCCAGACGAGCAGCCTGCTCTGCGGCCCCATCACGACTCGTCCACCTTCACTCTCAACGTGGCCCTCAACCACAAGGGCCTGGATTATGAGGTGAGCCCCGAGCGCCCTCCCGCGTCAGGGCACCAGCAGGGCCCCTCCACACGTGCACGCGTGCGCACATGCACACACTTGAGCCCCCGGGACTTTGCTCTCCTGCCCCCTGATGACCCCTACACACCCTTCAGTCACCCACCCTGCCCCACGGCACGTCCTCTTCACGTTTCTAGTTACTTCGAAGGTGCCATCTCCTGGACCTCTTCCAGGCTGTGTGCCTCGCCGCGCCCCCCCGTGCCTCCCTTGTGTGCCGACACCCCAAAGCCCCGTGCCTGCCTCCCTCCCCACTGTGGCAGCCAGCCCCCCAGCCCCCTGTCTGCTCACTGTCCACTTCCGTTCCCCTGTCCTCTTCCAGGGAGGTGGCTGTCGCTTCTTGCGCTATGACTGCATAGTCTCGTCCCCACGGAAGGGCTGGGGTCTCCTGCACCCCGGCCGCCTCACCCACTACCACGAGGGGCTGCCCACTACTCGGGGCACTCGCTACATCATGGTGTCCTTTGTCGACCCTTGACACTCAACCACTCTGCCAAACCTTCCCCGCCGTTGTGCCTTCCTGCGCCCCCCTCCTTGGAGATGGGGGTCTGTCTGGCGCCTCCCTTCCTGAGTGGATGTTCGGCGTGCCTGGGACTGAATGTGTCGCCTCCCCCCCCCCAACACACGGCCCTCTCAGGAAGCTCCTGGAGCCCCCTTGCCCCTCCCCACAGTCCCCAAAGATTCATGGGGAGAAGGCTTCTGGGGTTCCCCATACAATAAATTATTGTTTCTCAGCCTCCCTCCCAATAAAGGAGGATTTGTAACTCGTGAGTCCGCGTTCGTCTTTCCCCTCCCTGCTGACCCCGTATCCCTCCTGCCCCCAGAGCGGAGGGAAGACCTGGAGCTACTCCAAAGAAAAAGAACAGAGAGGAAAAGGCAGAAAGCAGATGGTAGAGCAGCGTGGGAACCGAGAAGCTTCCCTGGATCCCATTTCTCACTCTGCTGTATTGCCTAGGGGTTGCGGGGGAGCCTGAGAAGGGCCAGGCACCGAGGGCTTCACTTAGATTCAGGTGAAAGCCCACCCTGGCCTCCCCCAGCCTCTTCTCCCTGACGCGCTCTCATCCCTTGAGGGCATCTTCTTCCTTGCATAAAGCAAGGGGGTGGCAGAGCCCTGAGCTGGCCTCTGGGGACAGTGCTAAGGGAAGGGAGGCCCCCCGGAAGCATGTGTTCCAAGGGAAGACACAGGGGGCTTCTGGGACCCAAGCTTTTAGTTAGGGAGGATCAGGAAAAGGGAAGCCTTGGAGGGTCATCCCAAGAAAGCTTCCTGGAAGAGGGGAATAGAAAGTAGCCTTGAAAAAGAGGTGAGACCTCCTGAGAGCTGATGTCTTCCAGCTTCTGGGGGGCCATCAAGCCCTTGCTAAGCCAGTGAAACCCCTGGAGGCACCCTGAGGACCTCAGGCCATGTTCCTTTAGCTTGATCCTTCACAGGTCCTAGCACCAGCCTACCTTCCTGAATGTCTCTCCCAGCTGGTCCCCTGCAGAAGCCTTTTGAAAACCAAATGGGCCCATTTGCTGGTCCTTGGGTATTTCTTGCCTCCAACACCTCACATGCAATCCACCCCTTTCTTGCTATTGCCCGGACTCCCAGGAAAACCTCTGTGAAGCCTTCCTTCCTGACAGGTGGGACTGGTCCCCCTTCCGTGTGGACTGAGCATCTCTCTGGCCAGACTTTTCAGTGCATCTCACCCGGTCTCCCTGTGGACGGAAGTAGGCTGAGCAGGGACAGGAGACATTACTTCCTGGGGTGGGGTGAGGGGCAACCCACAGGAGAGTGAAGCAGGGGGCAGGACAGAAAGGGTGAGCCAGCCTGAGTGGCATTGGATGCTGGCTCATCCTGTCTCCTACCATGCTCATTTACTGAGCATCCCTCACCTGCTGGGCACCTGTCACAGGGTTAGGGTTGATGAGAACAACAGCTGGCTTCTTGTGGCTCACAGCTGGGGTAGACCTTAGCCAGAAAATCGCCATGAAGGAGGGAACGTGGGAAAGTATTTTATGCCAGGAGAGAATGGGACAGAAGATGTATGTCAGACTCGCCTAAAGAAATGACATTCCCTGACCCGGAGAGGGTCCACAGCTCTGGCCCGTGTTGGGGAGGGCCCCGGCCATGTGAAGACTGGTCCCCGCATACTTGGAGGGTGTGCCCTTTTGGGCTGGCCAATTGCTGGCCTTTCTGGCCATTCCTGCTGGAATGTCTCCCCACAGAAGCCTAAGCTACTCCTTAGGGGCCAGACCAGGGCAGAAGCCTAAGCTACTCCTTAGGGGCCAGACCAGGG